TTTTCTTCGCTTTATAAAGAGATATGTAGGGGAATTTCAAGCAGCCAGACTCGTAAATACGCAGAATGAGTGAGAAAAACGTTTGTGTGGCTGAACACGAATGTGTATTTGCTCATTTTGGGCCTTTTTTGAAATGAAAATTATTTAAATTAACCCATACATATAACAACACTGCTGGAGACGAGAGGGTATTTGGAGGAAAGGCCGCACAGCAAAAAAGTTGCCCAAGGATTCTGATGTACCCCAGTCGAATATTTCGATTTCCAGCATCAGTTCCACTTAAAATCTATCCGGTTACCTCCTACTTTCCCTTTATATCTATCCGGACATTAATAGCGTTACTAGTGGTAAAAAAGGCAGAGGAATGCAGCCAGAACCATTTACTAATAGAACAATGTCAAAAATATTAGAAGGCAAAAAAATTACTTGAAGGCTTCAACAAAAAACGGTCAATCGATTCGTATTTTAGCATCAATTTCACCCAAAAGATCTATTTAGTTGGAAGTATTTTTCTGCCTTTGCCCCAGTTTCATCATGAAATATAGGGCGGGAATTTAAGTAATCGAACCTAAGGATTTAATATCATTTAAAGTTTAAAAATGCACCTGATATTAAAACCAATGAAGTAATTTGGCAGAAAATGGACGAAAACAGCTTGCAATTGACTCGATTAAATTAAAAAAAAAAAAAACAAGCTCACACAAAAACCCAACTGCCTAATAAAGTTCCGCGAGGTGGTTTTGAGCACCGGATCATAGACGAACGTCTTTCCGGGTGAGAAAATGCCATCAGACGTCTGAACAAGGGCTGCAAGGAAAGCGAGTTGGCGGAGGCTAGCCGAGTCGACCGCGGGGTTGCCAAGACCGAGACAGAGAAGAGGCGCAAAACTCGAGGAACAGCGAAAGCGTGAGCGTAGCTGCGCAAGCACAATGGCGACAAGGGAATTGGGACGGAGGAAGGAAGCCAGAGCGGTGTCAAACTTGGAGCTCAGGGCGGAAGGACTGTCGTCTGGCAGGATGAACACCGTCCTTCGTCCGCAACTGCTTGAGTTGGTGGGTACGGGGAGGGTGATTGAGAGAGGAGTAGCATAGCCTTTCGCCTTGAGACGCCGACGCATGCCCTTTGGGTAACCAAGCAAGTAAACATAAACGACTTCATCGCTATGATAAGTTCAGTGACATGGAGAAATAAAGAGTGATTTAATGCATCTGCTTATCATCTTGGCGCCAGAGTGCAGCATTAACCTTGGGAGAAAACTAGGCGGATGAGATATTAGGCAAGAACCAGAAGCAACTCACTTTTGACAGGGCGCAAGTCCACCCTTCCTCGTTCTCACTGTCTACTTGTGCGGGTTGCGAGACCAAATGATTCTGATGAATCGCCCTAGTTCGCATTTTCTTCAATGTAGTGTAAGATAATTCAAGGACCTAAAGTTAAATTACTAAATAATGTCACGATGCTGCACTTATTGTATCAGTTTTAGAGAAAAGTTGAATGACCTCTCAGAAAAATACTTCCAATGCGTCCGCTTAAAACCGCACGAGATGAAATTTTTAAATCGAAATTATACGTGATAACAGACGCAATATTTGAAAACTGATAGATTAAGACATCAAAAAACGTTGTCATGCTTTTTTATTTCGTTTGTGAGGCATCCTGTACTTTGTTTGCTGAAGCATCATGGCATAGGTAAGAAAAATTCGAAAAAAGAAAGGCACTCAAAGCCAAAAAGGCTTCTGCCCTGGTTTGGGGAAAATCATTGAAAAAAAAGATCACAGCCCAATACAATAAAGGCAATGGATATAATGTGTGCTTTGGTATATTCTAGTGGAAAGTTGGCTGGTGACCCTATTTACGAACAAAAAGGAAAAAAGTCAGAAGTACTAAACAGTGCAGCGCTTGGAAACAACTCAGACGACGCAAAAAATACCGTTTCAACCTTAGAAACTCACTTCCAATACAACATTCCGAAATGAAAGAAGAGCAACCACTTATGCGATATTTCGTAGAGAAGGGGAAGTTGAGAGGGGCAATTTGTTGCCAGCCTCGCAGAAGATAAGCGTTATCTCAACCAAACATAAATCATTTCGCCCAACGGAAGCAAATGAAAACCGCAACTAAAGAATGTTCCAGCCACTTTTTCCCAAATACACTGACTTTGAGGTAGTTTGAACTACACTAACTCAGTGCAGAGCTTCTTGCAACAGAGGAATGAGGTTTTCTGTTACAAGCTGCTTTCATAGAATGGGAACGACGAATGGAAATCAATCAAATCCATGATGAAATACGAAATAATTTGCGTTAACGTTTTACAACATTAATGATGCCAGTCACAGTAAGAAAAACTGGCGACAGTTGATGGATAACAAAGAGCACAATGGTAGCAAATGACAAAGTGCATAAAACCATCGGAAGAAACAAAGGGATAGAGCCTGTGTTGATAAGGATGACAGAAAATTTGCAGCTAAGCTTAACTGACCACCTAGAACTTGGAAGAATAACACCAATTTAAGGCTCATGCGTCAGGGCGAAAGTTATGGATAGAAGAATATTACGGAACTGGAACAGCTCGTTACCCCCTAATAAATTCGTTAAATCACCTATGAAAATCCATGTAAGGGAAAAAATCAAAGTGGTTATTCAGTAAAGTATCAGCTTAACCGAGCAACAGGAGTCGTACAAACCTTTGAATAATTCAGCTACTGGTGAGAATCCTAAAGTCGGAAATGAAACACAAATCGGAATTTCAGTCAGCTCACAAATACAATGGTGTACCAATTGAAGTCGCTGAAAATAATCAGGTAAGAGATACGGAGGCTTCACTCAAGAATTCACGATAAAGAACCACATTAACTTTCCAAGTAAATTTCGCAAATAAAATCACTTGATTTATTAACAAGACAGCATTCTAATTAGAGAACAAAACCAGTACTTTGGTTCACATGTCATAATGGAAAACTATAGACACACAAGGGGAAAAACAACGTGTTTTAAGCGCGAATCATGCGGATTTCAAGTGTTATTTTCTAACAAATCACAGAAAGCACATATCTTTTGTCAGACTCACTAAAACTTGCTAGTAGAGAACAACAACGTAAGGGACAGAAATATTTGTGCACCGTGCAAGATGTGTCGTATGAAATACATAAGATACAAATACAATTTCCTCCCAGGTATACTTAGTGAGGCTATCAACACACGAGACGAGTTCGACAAATTGTCGGAGCCGAAACACGGATGAGCAACCCTGAAGCGGCGAGTGATTGGACAAGCCAGACGGTTCGATGCTACTGAGCCGACCAATAACGGAGAATAAGGAGCTCCAAATCAATCAGACTATTCATAAGCATTTATCTGAGTGTAAACGTCAGAGTAGTAAGCACGCAAATGATTCATGGACAAAATGCATTTACATTGCACTTATCACTCGTGAACAAATGTGCATTCACGTACCGCTGCAATGCAAGTGACCTTGAGCAGGTTTACAAATCATTGTAAGTATCTATATCTGTTGTTAGGTTTAAAAAGCAGGCTCGGATTTGTTATTATCAGAAAGTAAATCTTCTAAATCTTATTAAATTGGTGCTAGGCACAAATCCTTCTGCATCTTTAGTTGTTTAGCAGTAGAGTTATCATTTGTAGTAGGTTACTTTACAAACAAAGGATCAATTACTTCCTGAAAGAATAAGCAACAAACTATGATGTAGACATTTACCGCATTTTGAAATTTTTGGGGTAAAATAAAATAATTGATAAATTATTTTTAGTACCTGTGCACTGAGTTCCTTGTTTGCTGCAATATTTGTCATACCCCCTTTTTCTAGTTGAAGAATGTGCTTTACAGGCAAAATTTGGTGAGACAGTACTTTATGGTGATTAACTCAATAGCGGCTACTATGAGATGGAATCGTGGCCTCGGCAGCAGGGTGTTGACTCAGGTAGTTCGGGCGTTTTCGCTACTTGTTTTGCATTGCTTTAATCTCTCGAGATAGTTTCTGCGTCATACTTGAAGCCAATAGCCCTCTTTGTCTTTTTGTGTTGCTTCTCATTGTTCTACTCATTCTCCTGGATTCCATTCCTTGGATTAACTTTGCCTTTCCAATATTTTTCCCAGAATGGATATCTACCAATATTTTGCCGGACTCATTTAATCTCAGTGCAACGCTTAATAGTGGCCAGGCGTTTAGGTATCGTGGGTGGATTGTGATTTTTAGTGGTCTTTCATTCGTTTATTGTTTTTGTTACTCATACCGCCTTTTAATTTCGTTTCATGTTTTAGTAGGCACAGAGTGTAAGCATTGCATTGCGCAACTCCCTTGTTTTAATTCATTCTACTTATCTTAGCATCTGTTATATGTATTCATTTCCTTATCGTTCTAATTATATCATAAGGCTAACGTTGCAATAAATCTCTCTATGAATAATGGTTATATAGGTGCATACACTCATGTTTTCATGAACAGGTACTACGTTCATGCTTTGGTTTGCGTTTATTGGTTTAAACATCTGAATTCTGGAATTCAGGATCAGCTGTCTGTCATTGCACGTCTTAGTCGCAGCTTCCCATATTTTTAGTTGTATTCTTAATGCTTTATTTGCTGAGGTGATTCTTGTCTACTTTAGAAGAGTATGGGTGCTCCCCCGTTTTTTCTGATGAATAGTCTCTGTGATAGATGGGTCGAAGGACCTAACTCTCTGGAATTTGTCGGCGTAATCGGTGATCGTGTCTGGCGGCTACGCCAGACCTCTGCAGACACCCCTGTTGCCTTTCACAGAAGCTGTGCCACTACCACCGAGCTGGAACTTTTGAGGACACGAGGCCAAATCCCCCTACCTCTGGTCTCCTACTTTCGTCTCGATACTTTTCTCGACGACCTATTCTCCACGTGGTTAGATAAAGACCACCTGCTTCGCGAATTCTTCTCTTCTTCGTATATGCAAGGTATAAATCGTTTCAAAGGTCTGCGTCTGCTGAATCAGGACCCCCGAGAAGCCATTTTTGCGTTCATAACATCTGCAAATAATAACGTTCCTAGAATAAGCAAACTCCTCATTGCTCTGAGTGTCCGCTATGGTAAGAAGATGTGGTCGCACGAGACAGTATCTGTCTACTCCTTCCCCACTCTCGAGGTTCTTGCTCGTCCCGGGACTGAAGTAGAACTTCGTAAAATTGGCTTTGGATATCGAGCTAAATTCATCCCGTGCGCTCCATTTATTTTGGTTTTTCTTATTCCTTGCCCGGTAAATATTTTGACTTACCTCCATTCTCTTATTTCCAGTGCGGTCGCCCGAAAATTGATCGAAGCTGGTGGTGACGCATTTCTTCCAAAGCTCCGTGTTGCATCGTACAAGGAATGCAAGACCTTTCTTCTTGACCTTCCTGGCATTGGAAATAAGGTGCCCTTTTTTGATTTAACATTATTTTTTGCCGATTTTTATTTATTTCCATCCGCTAAAATTGTTGCAGTATTGCACTGTTTAGATTAAACTGTACTTAACCATTTATGCATAGCTTTCTCTCTTAATAAAGCTTCACTTTAGAAATTAGCATATTCTGAGATGCTGCCAATCCTTCCTTTGTCCTTCATGCTGACGAAGCAGATCAAGTGCCATGGAACATCAATAATGCTATTTTTTATTATATTTGGGTTATGCAATTAGCGGCTCCTTATAAAAAGTGTTTGGCAAAGCTCTCGTGGCCTGTTATTCATTACTCACTTGTGCGCAGTATTTAACCGATCTATCGTGTAATATCCACAAAAGATTTTTTGTGCACCGTTTTCTGAAATACTTGAACGTTCTACACTTTAAGCATTGACGCGATAGCATTGGGTTGTATCATGCAATAGAAGCGGTGCACGAAATCTCATTTTACCTTAGAAGAGTGCATCTCTTCTAAAAGCTGATATTAGACACACAAAGCAAAAAGTGATGACTAACAGACACCGGCACTTTGCCCTACCTGGCCCGGTCCAGCCATCACTAATTGATGCAGCAGGTGCGGCGGATTATGACAATAATGACGTGTGGCTGCATTGAACTGCTTCCTCCTTTCCCCCCTTCCCTTAGGTGGCTGATTGCATCTGCCTCTCGTGCCTAAACAAAGTGGAAGTGGTCCCAGTGGATGTGCACATCTCACGGGCGGCCGCGCTTCGAGGTGTCTGGCCTCCCACCACCACCGCTTCCTCCTCTTCCCCCTCCTCGACCGCCTACCGCCATATTTCTCAGGGTCTCTCTGAACTTTGGCACCCCTTTGCCGGCTGGGCGCAAGTAGTAAGCCCCTGTGAATATCACGATGCTCATGTCCTTTCTCTGTGCTGATTGCCACTATCGTTATCAGTTCTGAGGATGTAGACAAGTCTTCCTCTTTCATCACCCATGCTAACTCATTTACAGCCTTTTTATTGTATCGATTCGCCGAAACAGGTAATT